ATAAACCTAGCAGTCCCATATGGAAAAAAACGAAGGGATTGCTAGGTTAATATGAAATATAGCAGTCCCCTGTAGTGAAAAATATTTTTTTAAATTTTTCTTTGGTATCAGAATTTAGATAATATGCTTTTTAAAGTTCTCCTAAATACCTGGTCAAAGAAAAAATTGAATCAGTTAATTATTAACTGAATTACAGATTTTTTTTCAATATTAGGAAATTCCTGGATTCACGTTTACTTATTGGGGGTGTGTTAGAGGCTTACAGCCAATTTCATAATCAACTTAAAGTAAACTTTAAATATAAAGGTCCATTTGAAGTAGAAAAATCCCATCCTAAAAGTCTATTTAGCTAAAGTAACTTTTAATTCTCTATCATGAAATTGGCCGTTAAACCGTTAAAGGCTGAAATGTTTTTGGATTGAATTTAGGTACCTACCTACTATTTAAGTGCTCCTAAATTGTCAAAGAAACACTTGAATCTGTTAATTATTAACTGAATTACAGTTTTTTTTCATTATTGGCAAATTATTGGCTTCACGTTCAGTTGGTGGTGTGTCAGAGCTAAAATGTTTATGGATAGGAATTAGTGCTATTTAAGTGCTTCTCAATATTTGAAGAAAAACTTGAATCAGTTAATTATTAAACTGAAGTACAAATTTTTTTTTCATTAAGGAATTGCTGGCTTTACATTTACTTGGGGATGTATTTGCATTGCAGCGAATCTGAAAACTGCGACTAAAATGTTGTATTGGAATTTGGTGCTATTTAAGTGCTCCCAAAAAGTTGAAGTTTTAGATAGTTCAAGTTTTTCTTCGACTATTCAGGAGCACTAAGATAGCACCTAATTCCAATTATTACAACATTATAGCCACTGTTATCAGTGTTATCAGTTTCGCTGCAAATATTTACACCCCCAAGTAAACGTAAGGCCAGTAGTTCAGTTCCCTATAATAATACAAAAAAAATCTATAATTCAAATAATATAACTAATTCATGTTTTTCTTTGACTATTTAGGAGCACTTGAGCACCTAAGTCCTATCCAGAAAAAATTTAGCTTTTAACCACCAACTAGTTAAACGTGAAGCCAACAATTTCCATTTCCTAATAATGAGAAAAAATCTCTATTTAGTTTAATGATTAACTGATCAAATTTTTTTTGACTATTTGGAAACACTTGCATAGCAAGAATCATAAACTATAGGATTGCTTTTCCTTATAAGGCGTACGTTCGCCAATTCTCGAGTCGGCAAGGCCTGCGAGTGACGTTAGTACTATTAGCAGCATAGCCTCTTATAGTGGTGACGTCACCCGCAAGCCTCGATGGGATGCTTGCGATTCAGGTTGTGCTTGTTTCTTCATCGATTTTAAATGTAGAAAAGGTGATTCCTGGTAATGAAAAAAATCTGAATGACTGTTCTTCTTCGACTATTTAGGAGCACTTGGATAGCTTATTTGCTAATTCCTATCCAGAAACTAGCTTCTGCACACAGTGGCTTTACACTCGGTAAACTCCGAGCAGTCCGAGCGCGCTCGAAACATTAAGATAGCGAAAATAGAATTCAACTTCTGGAATCTCTTTCTCAGTGAAAATGTTCTATCTTTGATTGTTGAGTACCCGAATCAATACATAGAAATTGTAAAACCGAAATTCATCAGATGGTTCAATTTTTTTATCAATGATTTAGTATATGTATCTCTGTGATACAGCGTGACTAATGATGTTATAAAACTCGCGATGGAAGGTTAAAATAAATTAATATTTAACCAATAAAATATTAAAAGTTAAAATTTTCCATTTTTAAAGTAAACAAAACACCACACCCACTCAATACTTGAAAAGTATCGAAATAGAATTCTATTTTCTATTTTAAATACCCGCCAGATGGAGAGGGAACGGCAACGCTGTACCCATTTGCGCTACAACAACTGCATTCGTTTCGATGAGGGTCATACTCCGGTCGGACTTCGGCTCGTCCGACGTTCCCGCCCGAAGGCGACTTCGGGTGGGTAGAGCAAATGAACATTAGCACAAATGGGGTGATCCCCTTCCAGTTATGAACGCAACCGGAGAGTTCCGACGCAACCCGAGAGTTCCGACGCAAATCCCGAAGCCCGCACGCACCTCAACTAAGTCTGCTATGACTTGCTTAAAATGCGATACCGCTAATATGCGCATTGATCAGCAGCAGCTGCCATAAAGTTATTGTATTTTACTTATAAATAACTTCAAAAAGCTCAAAAATAAGCTCCGTCAAGTTAGCCACCCCACATTCCAATTTTCTAACAAAATTGCAACCACTTTGAACTGCGCTGTTCTGATACCAAAGTTATAGGAAAAACAAGATGAGGGGCTAACTTGACGCTCAGCCCCCCTGAAATTTTGGAAATCCAATCAAACAAAAATGAATTCTTATGCAATCTGAATAAGTGTACTGAACTGTGCTGTATTAGGTTTTCCTCAAAATTTCCATATTCAGTCATTTTCCGACAAAATGCTACTGGGGGTGCTAACTTGACGCTCAGCTCTCAAAAATTTTGAAAATCAGATGAAACAAAAATGGATTCTTATGCAATTTGCAGTGTGCTGGACTGTGTTGTATCAGGTTTTTCTCGAAATTCCCATATTCGGTAATTTTCAGGCCAAATCCTATTGGGAGACTAACTTAACGCGCACCCCCCAAAATTTAGGAAATAACATGAAACAAAAATGGACTCTTAGCTAACATGACACTCAGCCCCTCCCCCCAAAAAAAAAATTTGTAAAGCAGATCAAACATAAATGGATTCTTATGCAATCTGAAGTGTGCTAGATTGTGCTGTATCAGGTTTTTCTCAAAATTTCTATGTTTGGTAATTTTTTGACAAAATCCTACTGGGGGGACTAACTTGACGCTCAGCCTCCCAAAATTTTGGAAATAAGATTGAAACAAAAATGGATTCTTATGCAATCTGAAGTGTGCTGAATTGTGCTGTATCCGATTTTTCTCAAAATTTTCTGACAAAATCCTACTGGGGAGGTAACTTGGACGCTCAGTCCTTCGCCAGGAAAATGCACCACCATGAAAATTTTCAAAAAAAATGGCGCTGCTTCAATATCTTGGATCCCTGCCAAGGGGGGCGTTGGATAATTCCCATTTTCTAAAAGTGGGCGGTAGGTTAAAAAAGTTTGGGAACCACTGATCTAGACGATCGCAGAAGAGTTTCGTTTTCTCCAGTGCACCCTTGCGCTTTCTCTCTCACTCTTGCTCTTTTTTATAAGATTTAATTACCTCTCTCACTGTTTAAAAAAAAGTGAAAAACTATCTTTTATTGAAATAATTCTCTCTCTCCCTGCTTGCTTATAAGAGCTCAGTTAAAAGACTCGACGAGTAAAAATACTCGCCAAATTCCCGAAGATTTTTATTGAAAAAGACTAAAGTCAGCTGGTGAATTGTGAAGTTACTCGAATTTTTACCCTACCTATACCTACTAGTGAAATAAAAATGTGTAGTGAATTAGGCTACTAGTGCCTAATTAACACAACAATATTATCCTGTACTGATTGTAGTGCACAAACTTGTTAGATTTTTGTTGTTTTGCAACAAGAGAGAGAATTAAAGCAAAAAGTGTTAAATGCATTATTTAGCAGTGGCGTCCCCATCCCCTTTATGTTCCAGTGATCTACTCTTAAATAATGTTGACACCTCAATCAGAGGCCTAAACAAATGTCTTCGGATCTACGGAGACTTTTTTAATGTTTATAACGTCCACAGGTCCACATATGACTTTTGACTCTGAATGTTGAGTGATTTGCTTTCCTGGCACTCACTATCATCATGGCACGAATCTTCTTCCTTCTTTACTTCATCCATTAACTCGTTTTTGACAAAACTTGAAGTGATGAGGAGGTCGTCGAAGTGTGAATACAAAGTTGTCGTATTTTTCCGGCAAGGTTTAGAAAGACATGACATACATACCATAATTCCTCTAAACTGAGCAGTTTCCTGCATAAACGTACGCAGTTGACCAGCAATTTCAACTCGCTGAAATGTATTTTGAAATGATTTTAATGCTTTCCACAACTCGAAAGGATTCGTGGTCTTCAATGATCTCTAAGTGACTATCAGTTAATTCGTTGTACTTAAAGGGCTAACATTTTCTTTTCTGTTTTCTCTCTTCAGTTTATCCAATACTCTTGCTCTTTTTTCAGTTTCTGCAACTCTTGCTCATTCTGATGAGACGGACTGACTTATCGCGGATGCAAATCGCTTCTGGGTTCTTCGGAGTTCCTCTTGTGAACAAGGCTAGAAAAGGTTTCCAATCCATGACATGAAATATTACCAGACTTGGTAGAGTTGGTATTTGGGCAATTTCTCAAAAATGATCATAGTAATTATAGTAAAAGCGAGGATTTACAAGTAGCAGACTTCAAAACCTTATTTTTAAATAAAAAACAAAAGATATGTGACCCAAAAAGAGAGGATAAGGTAAGTAGGTGATTCTAACCAGTTCAAAATTCAACCCCTTTCTGGCTACCCGACCCGCAAATCTAGCTGATGATCATCTAGACTAGGATAATTGAGAGACGTAGGTGCTCCTGGAAATTCAATCTATCTTCAGTTATCAACCCCAAAACACCCTGGCTTTTCTGCGTATCTCGACTTTCCGCAGTGTCTTTTTTTTTCTTCGATTTTTCTCGGCCATTATAATAACTTTCACGAAAATTCCACTTATTTTCAGCTACCTGGATTGGTAGTCAACTTTCCAAGAATCTCATTTCGACCCGTGAAAAATTGGATCAGTCAAAACCGAGAGAAGTAACTTCAATTAAAAAAAAAACTATAATAGCAAAAAGGGTGGGCGCCCCTCATTTAATACAAAAGGGCTAAAAAAATCACATATCAAGCTATACACCCTAGTTAGAATACAACGCTACCCTATTTTACTATAGGAAACTTAAGGAGTTGCCTTAGCCAAGCTTCCCCTAGTTTAGCAGGAGTCTTGAAAAGTGGTGGCGCTTACGTCATGCACTTTCACCCTGTGAATGCGTCGCGACGCTTCGCGCAATATTCGTCGTGTTTTAGGAAAATACTTATTTGTGCTGTTTTTTTTGTGATATGTGATTTTTTTAATAGTTAACATGTGGGAAAATATTTCGAATTATTGTCCGAGACAATACAGGTAATCTGAAATAATTTTTTAGTACCTAAATAATAACCTAGGTTCATTTATTATTTTGAAGTTTTCGCTTCAGTGTTTTCAGTCTATTTTGAGGGATGATCAATATTCGGTATCAGGTGTTTTTTAAGTAACATCAAATTGTCAGTGGGGTCTGTTTCTTTGTGCCTATTTGTTTGTATTAATTATTTAGTTGGAATTTGTATAGCATTGAAAGTTTTCAACAAAAATGAAAAAAACACTCAGTTCGGAAGTTAACATTTGAAAAAAGTGTTACATACTATAATTGTTAATGTTTACCTCTTACGATCTTTTCTTTTTTACGAAGAACAGTTAAAGAGTGTCTTATTGAAGATTGCCAACTTTTGTTCGTAAAAAATGCGAATTTTAAGGTAAAGTGAGGTAAAATATTTCAACAATTTTATTAAAAATAAAAATTTAACTACGCTTCTTCCAAAAATCATAGTGATACTATTACCCAATGTACAAAAAAGTGGGCAAATTTGGAAATATGTTATTATAGGATAGATAAAGCTTCACCTAAAAGAAAATGATGGAAGATATTAGGTATAGTATAAGAAGAGTAAAAGAAAAAAAAAAAGCAATAAGAAAAATATTGACTACCAATAATAGCTAGCACATCAGATTCCTAAAAATATGTGTAAATTTCAATTTAACTCCTAAAAATAAAACGAAGATAGTTTTGAAAGATTAAAAAACATATCAATAGTTAAAGTTCATTTACCCTAAAAGCACCCTGTGTCTATCGTCCAACTTGCTGCACCCTCGTTGAAATATATATTGTAATTAAGCGGTTACTGGCCTTAAGATGAATGGTATGTCTTTTTTTGGAATTACTATTATGTTTTCATTTAACTAAGCCCAGATAACCCAGAATAATATACTATTTTAAGCGCATAGGTATTAATTATAGAGCCAACTAGGCTCTTCTTGGGCAAATAAAGCTGTACGTAATAGTTATTTATGGTATTAGTGTGTTATGTCGGAAATAGTGGTAGTGACTAGACTAAGAAAATATAACACACAAGTAGCATGCAATGTTTTATCTAACAACTGAGAAATAATAACACACGAGCAGCATGTACAAGAACTGAAAAAACTAACAGGTATTTTTTGGGAATGAGTCTCCTTCAAAGCCGGACATGAATTTTTATTTCTTGATGTTTTGCGTTGACGGTATCAGAGAGTGCGTTATAGACCATAACCCATTAGCGATTTATTTCATCCTCATCTGTGGTGATCTGCTTCTTATCTGTCCCTAGCATATATTCTCCACTAATGTACTTTTGAAATGATCTTTCTGTTTTGAAAGATTTCCTGTGATGCGAAACCCAATTTTATACAGGTGATTTTCAGTTTCAATGCGGTTCTCGCTCTTAACTAAGAAAAGTTTCCCCGAGCGTTTCCCATTGTGTCAAACCTTCCCACTAAGCAATGTAATATTGCTTTAATATTTTAGTAATGTTTCTAGGTAATATTGTAATATTTCATTTTTTTTTGCTGCTATATAAGTGCAAGGTTGCTGCAATTACTGAAACGGACTTATTTTAATATTCACAAATGCAATATTTACAAATCAAATATTTCTGCAATAGCGCCTCAATCTTGTATTTTCATAAAAAATAAATTACGTTTGTAACATTTAAAATGCTAGCTTACAGAAACCTGCATTTAACGTTGTTTATAGAGTTAGGTAAATATTACAGTTGCAATATTTTTATTGGTACTTTACAGAAATTTATATAATGAAATATTGTACCTATATATGGTAGATATTTATTATATTTGCATTAATGCAAGATCCTTTATTTTTCTCTTTTCGGCAAGTTCAACTACAGACCGGGGCACAATGGTTAGTTATTAAACTTCCAATTTCCAATTGATCTTATCACACATGCCTCGATTCCTCCAACATAGGTATTGTAAAAAATCCACCTAAAATTAAAAATTAAACAGTATTGAAAAAGCACAAAAAATTAAAATGGTAAAATCTTACAACATTGGCTTTATTCTCTTCCTCTCCCAACATCTCAACATCTTGATGAACTCTTTTGTCCTGTTCAAACTCTTTGTTATTATTTATCAAGCCATGGGCCAAGCCAAGAAAAACACAGCGTCGTTTGCGTGAGGTATGTGTGATAAGATTATCAATTGGAAATTGGAAGTTTATTAACTAACCATTGTACCCCGGTCTCTATAGTTGGACTTGCAGAAAAAGGAATTTCAAAATAGGATCTTGCATTAATGCAAATCCTCACGATATAATAAATATCTATTATGTATACAATATTTCATTATGTAAATTTCTGTGAAGTATCAATAAAAATATTGCAACTGTAATATTTATCTAACTTTATAAACAACAAGCTAGCATTTTTAATGTTACAAACGTAATTTATTTTTTATGAAAATACAAGATTGAGGCGATATTGCAGAAAAGTTTATTTTGTGAACATTGCATGTGTGAATATTGGAATAAGTCCGTTTCAAAAATTGCAGCAACCTTGCATTTATATATCAGCAATAAAAAATGAAATATTACAATATTGATACCTAGAAACATTAGGTACTAAAATATTAAAGCAATATTACATTGCTTAGTGGAAGTATCATCTGTCCTTCAGCCTTCTTCTTCTTTCACTTGTGCTACTACCTTTAGCACCTTGGGCAGTGTCGAAGCTGTCCTAGGAAGATGTAGGTTTTCACTTAGTTTTCCGAAGAAAGTTTTCCAATAGTGACTCTTTCAGCGTTCTTTCCTCTCTCAGAGCGTTCTTTATCATCTTTTGTTTTCCCCATATTCATCTTCAGGCTTTCCTCTATAATTATGTTCTTAACTACACCTCTTCCTACAGTTTTTTAGAAATCTTCAATTGTATGACTATTCTAAATCATTTGTATTTAAGAAATCCCCATATGAATAATGGAATAAATAATTATATTTATATTTTTGGAATAACCATTTATATTTGGAAATGTTTCAAATATAATTTAGAAAAACTAAATTAATTCAAGAAAGCAGCAAATACATTTTTGATTCACCAAGTTCACTTAGGAAACCGTCATTTGTATTTTAGATCAAACCATATGCATTAAAGAAAGTTTCAATCGTAGTTTAGAATTATGTAGTATTTCTCTGGACCTTTTCCGACAGTATTTTAGAAATCGTCAATTGTATTTCAGAATAGTCATCCGTATTTAAGAAATCATCATTAGTATTTTGGAATAACCACTTGAATTTGGAAATGCTTCAAATGTAGTTTAGAAAAAGTAAATAAATTTAAGAAAGCAGCAAATAAATTTTTGAATTACCAAGTTACCTTAGGAAACTGTCATTTGTATTTTAGATCAAACCATAATATGTATTAAACAAAGTTTTAGTCATAGTTTAGAATTATGTACTATGTATTCCCCTATTTCCTCTACACCCATACTGGCTGATTTCTTTAAAATTGCCCTCTTGGCCCTCTTGATGATTGTTTCTAAAATTCATTATGGTATTTCTAAAATACAATTGCTTCAATCTAAAATACATATGACTTTTCTAAAATGCATTGGAAATTATCGATAATACAACTTACTTCTAGAATAGTTTTGAATATTTCGCAAATACACTTGAAAAATCTAAAACACATGGATTTTTCTGAAATACAAATGTTTATTCTAAAATACAAATTATACTTTTTTTTAATCAGTGTGATACTCGAATGTAATACCACAAGAGGTTTCAGGATTACCGGATAATACTTTTACCTGTCACGAAACGCGTTACGCAGCAAGACCACGACTCCGAAGGAGGAGTGGTGTTGCTGGTAACGCGTTGAGTGTCAGGTAAAAGTATAAGGTAATCTTGAAACATCGAGTGGTATTCAGAAGGTTATACAACGAACTAAACTTTAATGCTTTATTAATTTTTATTATTATTAATAACAATATTGCCACCAAGCGCGATAATCCCAAAAGGCTTATCACTTCTTAAGCCTCTCGTGTCATATGGGAATAATATACAGTGAGTTGTATAATCTGTTGAATACTGTTGTAAAGGGTGTAGTCATCCACTACTACTTCGGGCTCTTCAAAACTTCTGGATCTGAGTACGATATCGTTGGCGAAGATGAATAAGTTTTGTGTATGTATGTAGGTAGGTATAGTGATGGTAAATTCCCAGGAATTTATTTTTTGGGAATATTCCTTGGAAATATTCCCAAGAATGTTTCCAAAATGGGAATCTTCGGGGAATTTTCTGCTTTAAGTGAAAACCCCCATTTATATTGTAGCAAAACGCCCCAAGTACTTTATGTAAATTAGTTAGATGGTAAATGGCGAGCGGTATATTGATGGTGTTTATATACTTGGAGCTTGCTATCTAAAATCTGTGGAAGAGGGTCTATTTGCAAGAGAGAGAAACAAACTAATGAGGTGTACTAAATTATATTTTATTTTACATAAAACCCAACAAATCTCAGCCAAATATCTTCCAATACTTTACATCCTTCTTTATTTCTGTAAAATCAATACTTCACATCCGTTCTATATTATTATTTTACGGACCACTGAAATATCCCTACTAAATAAGAAACGCCCTATTCATACTATTTCTCATAAATTATAATTTAACTCATTTTACTACATCCGAATCATTCCTAATAACTATCCTTTACCTAATCAAATAATTCTTTAAAATCTCTAAGTCCTTTACTTATGAAAACCCAAGATAATTACCTATTTGTTTATCAACTAATTTATTCTCATAAAATCTTACAATAACTTCTACTTGAAAAATAAACTCCCTAATTCAATAGTTTATTGTTGTATTAGGAGTAGAAACTTTACTTTTTTGTGCTGAAGCAGTAGGTTTGCGAGCCGAACGTAGTGAGGCTTGCAATACTGCTGAAGCACAAAAAAGTTCTTCTACTCCTTATGCAACACGCTATTTTTTCTCCAAACGAATGGGGTAAGCTCGGGGGTAACTGAATGGTTAGCGG